GCGCGCGCGCACACACATATATATATATATATATATATATTATTTTGTTTAAAAAGAAAATCTTGTGTGGTAATTATTTAAAGAAGATCTGTTTCTCCTAGACTGTTGATTTTACTTGGTATTCCCATTTTAATTTATTCACTGTTAATTCACGGAAATTAGCTCTAAGCTTTCTTTCTAGTTTAGCCTTTCGGTGGTCCACTTAATCAGAAACGGACATGAAACAAAAGGACAAAATAATTCATATATGACAGCGTTACTCACCTCTTTGGATCTTTCCCTTATCATGTTCTGTTCTAGTTTTTGTTTTTCTTGAGGCTACGAAATGCAACTGTGTCCTTGGATGCTCATTGCAGACCATGCAGTTGAAATAAGTGATTATATGGATCTGGTTATGAGAATAATATGGAATTAGTACTTCTTCTCATTTGCCCTCTATGATCTAGTTTTGGCCCACTAAAACACCCTACTTCTCCTTTTGTGTATCAAATGCCTACTTAGAAATTAGAATACACTTTTCTTTTACTGCTTTTATAACGTGTGACGCCCTTCATTATGCCAAAAATTATTTCCTACTAGCGAAGTTCTCCTGAATTGAAAAGGTAAAAAAGAGAGGAAAAGTTTATGTTATATCCGTGTTGGCTCTAGGCATTGGTAATTATGAATTGGTTAAATTGCTTTCACCTGGACATATTGTAGCATGAGAAAGAGCAGTGTCAAATAAGGTGGATCATAAAATAGTACTCAAGGAGTGACATATCCATGGCAATGGGTCCAATCTTTGAAATGTATAGTTTAATTAATTGACCTAGGCACAATGGGGGCATTTGAGGATGGGATGGGAGAGACCTTAGATCCAACGACCACCAGACATATTAATATTTTAGGGGTGGGGCATAGCATTGTGTGAGAAATAGGTATGGAATATCCGCGTTTGGCACGATGGAGGATTTGTTATTGGCTATGGGTGGTGTGTGTTTAGAGCTTCATTGTGCCACACACTACTTGTCACGTGATTAATAATGTCCATTTGTGCAATCAATTCCCCTACCAAGCAAAAATATGAGGTGTGATTCTCAAGCTCATACCTGCATGTATGATGCTCATGACCCCATTAGAGTATATACAAAACTTTGTTTGATGATAATTTTTTATGGAACTAAAATGTCATGTATCCTTTTATTTAGGTAATATGCATTACACTGATGTACAATTAAAATGTGGCATCTCAAATTACAAAGTCCATTCAATCTTGTTGGAACTTTTGATAGATTCTTCAACAATAATTTCTAGGTGACCCTGCAAAAGCAAATGAAACACACTTCAAAGACTGATAGTATAATTGGACTGTTGGCATTTAGATTTACTTAAAGCCAAGCCCATAAGAGTAAGAGGGAGAGACTTACAAACTACAGTCTGTATTGGGAGCAATGATGAAGCCCAAAGAGATTCCGCACAGGCCTGGTAAGGTAGCTATGGCTGTGGCGTTTGGGCTGAAAGCGTCAATGAGGCCCATTAAGCATCTGCAAACATATTGCCTGTTATCGCCAGAGTTAGCAATGTTTTTCACTCCAGACATGGCATCACAACAAGGGGACCCTGGAATGGGGTCTGGGGAGCCATAGGTGATGAAGATGGAGCATGCTGAGAAAAATTGAGTAATTGTGGAGCATTCTATAAATGCACATACAAATGGGGCCGAGGAAAGCAACATTAGAAGCCCAATTATTATTGAAGCCTTCTTGTACCTTCCCATTCTACAAAGTTCCATTAGAATATGCTTCTAAGAAAGCCTTTCCTTTTGTCTCTTCTCCTTGCAAAGTTAAGTGGACTCCTATACTACATTATAAAACTATATAATATATGCCACGAAAATGCGCGGTTGGTGTGCAATGTGGAGCTTGTGGTTTCACATGAATTTTTAATGAACGCTGAGGTGTGCATGATGCAACTATTTCAGAAATTAGATTCAAGCATTTAATATCTTAAATTATATGTTCATTTTGTTTAATGTTATGAATTAAATAAAAAATCAACATCAAAAGGTGTCGTGGTGTAGTTGGTTATCACGTCAGTCTAACACACTGAAGGTCTCCGGTTCGAGTCCGGGCGACGCCATTTTCATTTTTTTTTCTTCAGTTTTTAATTATATTTTACTTAGAAAAATAAAATGGGCCACACTAGTCCTTTTTTTGGAAACACAGAAATAGTGGGGGAACCAAATTGAAAGATTTTGGGTGACCCATGTCGTGGGTGAGCCCAAGTTTACAGTGTAAGTAATGAATGGGAAATAGCTTTTATAGAGAGACAAATTAGGTGAACCCAAAGGGTACGGTTTAAGGAATGAGTGGTGATTCTGGTGAGGGGTCCAACCTATACGTTTTCACCAATTGCTTTCCTACCTAAATTGTCTCTTTCTAAACACATCATCTTTTCGATGTTCAAGCCTAACCTACGGATAAATTTTTCTAGTTATCGTTTCTTAAAAGACATTGATTGTTGGCCATATTTTGATTTCAACATGCTTGTGGTTGTGGTACCAAGATCAAATAATTAAACAGGAATACTACCAGTCTTCCTTCCAAATGATTGATCAGAGATCTTACTTGAGAATTTATGAAAATAAAATTGATTACATGGATACACATTAGAGTATAAATGGACAAGAAGGAAGCCAGAGAGGATATATAAGGCGGAAAATGACTTCATATACAAGCAATTTTTTTTATATATCATAACTATGTATGTTTAAAAAAAAAAAAAAAAAAAGTAAGCATAAATCCACAAAGGCAAACCAATTATTTAAAGGTGAAAAAACGAAAGAGACAAAAAACAAGAAAGATTCTAAGTGCTATTGCTATAGCCTATACACATAAGAAAAGAAATTGCAAGTAAACATTTTCTCTTTAGCTGTCATCGCTGCATTCCCATTTAGAAGTCGGTACACATGTTAGGTAGCGACACCAATGGCAGTGGTCATACCCTTTCTCACCCCTGAACAGCATCACCAATGCAATTGCTAACCTGCCATTAAATAAATGCATTTCAATGATTTTAGAATTTTAACAAACTAGAAAAGTACATAAATTCATATAACAAAGTGAGAGGAAAATAGCCTATTAATGTACCAAATGAAAATAATATACTTAATTTTATCTCTTTTGGCAAAATCCTTATCAAAATATGGACATTCCTGGTTTAAGGAAGGAACTAACCCTGCAATCAAGAGAATGAGAGACACAATCCAAAGAACATATTGGTAAGGCTTGTACTTTGACTTCAAACGAACACCAGCTGGAAGATGTCGCTGCTCTAACCACCCAAACTGAGGACGTGGCAGCATAATAAAACCTAGGAGAAACCCCACCAGGAATCCTCCAATGTGAGCAAAATTATCTACGTGTGGTAAAATGCCAATGCCAAGGTTGATCACAATGATCACTAGAAGGGTGACTAAAGCCATTGCCTGCAAAAAGGAGTCAAAAATAAAACTTAACTCTTGCCATACTGTATAAAAACATTAGTCTACTTTAAAGGTATGAAATTAATTGATGGCAACGAGCCACGGTATACAAGATTAGATGTGTTTTTCATTGAAGAAGAAATAATAAAAAACAGAAAGCCATATATTAGACATGAGGACTAACTAATCATCTACACTCACTTTATTGGAATATATAGTCCAGTTTGTGATAAGTTCAGACAGCATTGCGCCAAGAAGTCCAAAAAGGGCACCAGAAGCACCAACGGAGATGTGGTCTCTGATAAACAGAGATGACAATACACTTCCGCCAAACCCAGACAACAGGTATATGAATCCAATCTTCACTGCCGTCATTTTGACAAATGAAAAATGTTAGGTCCATTTTATAAAGTAAAACTTCACTGAAGGAGAAACTAAATTAATTTTCCTAACGAGCAAATGATAAACATAACTTTGTTTCCGTGTGCATGACACTAATGTAATCACAAGAAGACAATACTAGTTTGGAAGGAAAACATACAAAATCCGAATTGCTGTTCAAGACGAATGCCAATGAAGACGAGGCTCAACATGTTAGCTAGCAAATGAATGATTCCAGCATGTAGCCAAATGCAAGTGACAAGTCTCCACCCCTGGTGCCGATTCACAACATTATCCCACCGAAGGGCTCCCATCTTGGTCAATCTTCAAAAGTCAATACAACATTTCAAATCAATAAATAGGATACCATTTAAACTGTTACATGAATAGTGCAAATAAAGAACTGCAAGTTACAAGAGAATAACCAAGTCATGGGCCCAAATGAAACAAGTCAGCCACGATAGTTTAAAGCCTTTCATAAAACATTCAAGCACGAACAAAGTACAAGTCAATACACCAATTAAGAACCCTTGATCATTTACTTGTTTGGCCTTAATAAAGGGTGATACAGAAATTAGTTTAAAAAACTTGCATTGACATATCATATCATATAATAATATAAAAACATGAAATTTAAAGAATATAACTTCATAGTGTGGTTCATGGTGGTTAATTTTTTAAGACCCAACAAATGTCATAGTCCTAGCCAAGTCAAATGAGAGTCAATCACATAAGATGCACCCAACTTTCTCAGTTCACTCGAGGCATTTAACCACGCAAAGAACCTTTACGTTTCACCCTATCCGGCTTTCTTTTCTTTCCTTCATTACTTATTCATTCCTTAAAAAACCAAATACGTAAGTACTTTTAAAATATCCCATGAATTTGTTATTTTGCATGTGAATAGGTCATATTAAGGATAAGATAGATTTAAAAATAAAATGATTATCAAAAGGAAAATTAATTTTTTTATCTCAAAAAACATTACAGACAATTCAGTTTATAATAAAATTAAAATTAAAATCCTGCCCCTAAATAACTTATAGCTCTTATTTCACTTTACGCAGCAGCAAAATCAGTCTTAAGATAAAAAATCAAGAGAGGAGTATGGATATTAATTGCAAAAATAAGAATGAGATGTCATCGAGTTCACCAATATCTCCAAGGGAAATAATCGAAACATGCCATGAAGAGAGAGTCGTTTGAAGTATGAAATTCATCTCATAGAGTTAAAGCAAACAAATTTCAAATACCAGAAAGGCATATTTAAAGAGACACCCAATTCACTAATTTGAGCAAAATTTTCCACACCAGCACCTAAAAGGCTAAAACCAAAACCCCCCCGAAAAAAAAAAAAAAAAGTCGAAATAAGATTCTACTGAAGGCAGGAAGCATGAAAAAGTTCCCTTCCAAAGTGAATCACCAATAAAAGCAATACCAAAATCACCCCAAAAGAAACGAATAACTTGTAATAAATAAAAAAAGGAAGTGAAAAGAATGAAATAGAAGATGGGTATTGAAGAAAAAAGAAGTGATTGAGGTCATACGTTGAAGAGGAAGGACCAAGTAAGGGATTCTCCTGCATAGGCTGAAAGGAGAACCTTCCAAGGAACCTGGCTACGCAGCCACCTTGTAGACCGAGGTTGTGCTTAGGACAATTGTTGATGTACATGGTTACAACGAAAACAGCAATATTAGCAATTACAAACATAGGCACAAGCCATGATGTCCAATGGGTCTCAGCTTCGTAAACATGAGGCGCAGAGTAGTTTTCGTCTGTTCTATTGTTCTTGATTCCAGCACCGCCACCCTCGAGATCTCTCCTCGCCATGCCCACCTTTCAATCAAAGTCTGAAACTTAATTCCGTAACGGTGCTTTATAGGAGAGGAAGAGGTGGAGTTGGTAAATGGGGAATGAGAGAGAGTTTGAAGTTAGTAGTTGGTGGGGTCAGAGGTCAGACAGAACCATTTCACTCTGTCATTTCATTTACTAACTGCCACACCCCACAGTGATGCACAACCAAACTCACGCGGTTTTGCACGTGAGGACACGCTCATGACGTGGCGAGTTTTCATTGGTGCTAGGGTTTGGGTGTTCTGGTGGTGGGACCAGCGGATTGTGGCCTCCTACGTGGTGTTTCGTTTTCGTGGATGAACCGGGAAGGTTCGGTTTTGTGCTAGATTTGTGTTTTTAGCGGTCAACAAGGTTCCGTCTGGGGTCACTTTATCTTAATTCTTTTTCCACCTGAAATGTCAATCTGTTCATATATTTCTACCCAACCTAATTTTATATATAGAGAGAGAGTGAGAGAACATATGTAATTCTTTCAAAATATGTAAATTTTTTATTTAATGTAAACTTTGGGGTTTTAAATTTCTAAACTGGGGTTTTGTTTATAAAGTTTAACAATCACTTAATAAAGTTGGATTTTGTTATGAGATATTTCGGAGCTTTAATTTTTTTACAAATTAGGTTTTTTTTGGGGGGGGGGGGGGGGGAGTTTAAACAATTGAATCATCAATTTGGAGATAAATGAAAGAAACCATATACCTTAATAAAATATCGATATTGAAAGTCATTATTATAAAATAATTCCTCAATTCCTCATTTGTATTCTTTAATAAAAAATAAGATTTAATATTTGCTTTGAATATAAAATTAATATTCTTTTTATATAGGAGTTGACTTAATAATAATATATCAAATTGAACTAATTCAGATACTAAATTAGTTTACTATAAGTTGGTACTTTAAATAGGTTAGAACAATCTAATTCACTTTCTGATATGTTAGAAAATTGTAATATAACTCAACTCACTATAGTTTGATGGGTTAGGTGAGTTACCTCACCAAATCTTTAAAAATAAAAAAATAATAATTACATATTTATATTTTTAATAAATAAAATAAGGAGTTACAATTTTTTCTAACAAAAAAATTGTTAAATATTGATTCAAATGCAAATACAAAGAAAAATATTAATCAAAATTTTAAATAACAATTATAAAAATCATAAGCATAATTTTTTTTAGTTATAGTGTGTTAATTGAGTCAACTCGTCTCACTTGATCTCAAACTCATTTGACTTTTAAAGTTAAGTGAATCAAGTTATAATTTAGCAAAAAGTTGGTAGACATTTTTATTTTCTTACTTGGCTCAACTTGAGTCCATGGTGAGCTAGATTGACGCACATGGTTGAAACTCACCTTGACACTTCTACTCAATGAGAATGAATTATACCTTTTATAAAAAAAAAAAAAAAATTGTGAATAGGTTTTTACTACATGTTTATGTAACACCGGTAGTTTTGTGACATTTAATTTAAATGTATGAGTGATTGCATGATTTGTGTTGTTTAGTTTTTAGTTATGGTTTAGGGACTTTGGGGTCTAGGCACCTTGAGAATTAAGTTGGTCTTTGGGGTAGTTAAGTTAAAGATAAGTTGATTGAACCTCAATAAGGGTATATTAGATATTTTTTTAAGATGTGGACCTTGTAAATTCATGTTTTAAAAAGCCTTAACGAGAAGCCAGAGAGAAAATCTTTGAAAATTGAGTGAATTGTCTTCGCTTCCTTTACTAAAACCCTTCTATTCTCCCTCCTTGTAGTTGTCCAATCTCATTGAGTTGGAGATTCAAAGCTTGTAGAGCCAAGAATCTTGAGTTTTTGGATGTGCATAATTTTTCTCTTCTTTTCTCTTCGATTTGGATCGTCAAAAGGTAGGGCAACCTTGTGTTTGATCGTGGTTGGGTTGTGTTGGTTGATTGTTGTAAATTAATCTATGATTGGTTGTCTATATTGATTAAACTGAGATGGTGAGTTGTGGTGGGTCTTTGGTTGCTTGGAGTTGTTGCATAAATTTTGATGATTCTTGTTTTAAAGTTGTTGCATGGTGTTTTTGATGATGGAAATGAATTGTTGGTGTTGAATATATATTGTATACCTTGTTGCATGTTGGCTTTTGGTTGGATTTCAAGTAGATTGGACAAATTTGGTTTATGCATAAGTGCAAAAATTGATATTCATCGAGTGTACCTTCATGGTGTCGGGCGTGATTCGAAGTTAAGGGTTCTCATTCTCTTAATGTTAGGCATGTGACTAGTGACGTTAGGCGTGAGGAAAGAGGATCACCTCTGACTTGGCCATGCGAGATGTGGGTGCGAATGGCATCAGATGTGAGGAGAGAGACTCAGACTCGTCTATGCTTGGATTTGCACCAAGCTTTAGTGAAGTGACATTGGATGTGAGTCAAACAAAGGTCATTTGCCTAATTGAGGCCAGACATGGGCTTTTTCCACACTAGACACGAGAAAGTGGGAGACTTTCTACCTCAACCACACAAAGTGTGGATAGTTTGGTGTCGAGCGTCTTGTGAGTGGTGCCAAACATGAGTTGCATGATGAAAACTTGTTGTTTTAAGATGTATTATAGTTGAATCATGAGGAATAAGTTGTGTGGATGGTGATGTATGATAGTAAATCTATATGATGTAAGTTGATACATGAATCATGATGTTTATATTGTTAAGTTGTGAGATGATTGAATTGTAAAGTTGTGTGTTGTTTTAAGTTATTGAGACGTTAGGCATGTGGTGAAGATACATGCCTTTGTTAAGATACATAAAAGCTAGAGGAGAGTAAAAGTTGTTTTAAAAATTCGAATATCTCATTGTGTGAATATACCTTGTGGTGCTTTGAGAGTCCGGTTAAAATCATTCAATAAGTAAGTTAACTTATGAATTAGGTAGTTGTTTTCAAGTTGTCTTCTCTGCATTTTATGTGGTATTTGTATGTGGGTAAGGTCGAGGCATACATGTATAAAGTAATCAACCGAGTAAAGTACAAAGTTAAAGATTTAATCCATAACCAAATATTGGAAGGACAAAGGTAGTCGATGAACTAATTTCATAGGTAGCTTTGTGTTGTAATCTAATTTCGTGGTAGGCTCATATTCAAGATGATCTACCCTGATAGTAGTATTAGTCTCCTGAGTTTAAATGGCAAAACCTGAAAAATCAAATTTAGTTGTTAAATAGGTTCTATGAGAGGCTTGATTGTTGACATGGTTAAGATAGGTTACAATTTGTGGTTAAGTAGGGTCTAGCTACTTAAAGGTGTTCACCTCTATTAGGAGATTTTCTTAGTTGATACATGTGACGACACATTAGTTAAATAATGATGTTGATAATTGAAAATGTAATATGTTGAAGTTATTATATGCTATAATAAGTTGCAAGTTATTTGTGTAGTACTCCATGATGTGTGGAAGTTGGATGTTGTTGCTTTGTTGATTTAAGTTGTGACTCAATGTTGTTATTACATGTTAATTCTTTCATAAGTTTACCCTATGTTTTTCTTGTAGTTGAAACTGTAACGATCATATTTTGTATGAGAGTATGACACAAAATATGATTCGCAAATTAGTTTGTCTAGCTATGGAGGGTCATGTTGGAAATGACTAATTTTCTTTTTAGTGGTACTACTCCTATGCAATTTTGATCTTGTACAAGTACTTGATTGGGGGTAGGGTTTTTCTTGTGTACAGTGGTATTTTATGTAGATGGCATAATTGTACAAGAGTTGTTTTAGTTTTCTATTCCTTACATATACCTATATGCATAAGATATATTACCTGTGGCATGATAACCTTAAATTAGTTGATGATAACCTTAAATTAGTTGATTTTTTTTCAATGTATAATAACTTAACTATAATACGCATAAAACCCGTCAAATCATTAAAATTATAAAAATCAACGACTTTCATAAAAAATTGCGATTATTTTTATATTTATCGTATATTCTTACCCAATGATAATTTTCTTGAACTTGAAAAATAAGCATAATTAACATAATTTATATTAAAAGTAAACTTCTAATTAAAGAATAAAATATCAATTGTCATTACAACTAATATTTCAGCATGTGTATTGTAGAAACTAAATATTTATTATATATAAATAAATTTTATAATAATTTATATATAAATAAATGTTATATATGAATATATAAATTATATTTTAAAATTAATATAAATAAAGATTTTAAATATATAAATTATATTTTAGACTTAAGATAAGTAAATATATTATTTTAATTATTAATAATTTATTAAATTAAATAATTATGATAAATAAAATTTTGAATTAAATAAAAAGTTAAAAGAATTATTAAAACTCTTCCTTGGAATAACAATTCCAAAAATATTTTCGCATAAAATAATTAGAATTTTCGCGTAAAATAATTATTCACATTAATATATAAGAGATAATAATAATTTTTTTTATAATAATTAATATTAAAAAGATATCATTATAATTACATATTAGTTTGTTTGTATTCTTCATTATTTACTGAATAATATACGTAGCAAATATTTGTCCGGTAATTTAAACATTTATATCGTTAAGTTCTCCTTATTAAGTATTTCAATGTGTAAGTAGCATCTAATATAAATAAGATATTAATTTATTTAATTTGTAAAACAAAACCTCACCCGACTAATCCACTTTGAATCAAACAAATATAGGAAAAACTCTTGTTCCAGATAACTCCATTAATTATTTAATTTAGAAAAAGACTTATATTGACTTGATAGTGAAAGTCTATTGTCTATACATAAATCCTAAACAAGAAGAAACCCATCCGTACATGACAAACTCATTGAAACAGATGGCTCTCACAAAAATTCTATTGTCTCAATTTAGAAATTCCAAACATATTGGACATCAACCACAACCGTCCATCCATTGGGCCTCTCCCGAAATACCCATGGATAGGCCCATTCAACTCTAATTAAAGTTTTTTTTTTTCTTTTCATTAGTTTCTCAACATATTTGTAAACTTTCAAATATTGACTGTGACAGTGAGCCTCTAAATAACAAATTCAAATACAATAATGGGATAAAGGATTAGTCTTGCCTACAAAATGAAAAATGCAGTTTTAACTT